AAAAAAATTAATAAAAGAAACAATTTTAAAGAACCTAAGAAACCCTCCCTATTTTTCTTCATTTATCAAAATTAACACTGTGCCTTAATGTACTGTATAAAGTGACCCCAAAAAAAATAAAAAAAGAAAAGAAAATACCAACTGACAGATTGTCTGTAGGTTATTTATAAAGAACCAGCAGATAAATCTTTCCCTGATCTAAATAACAAGAAATTAGATTATATTAAGACATCCCTTTGGGCTTTTGGTTTGCTTCTTAGCTGGCCATAGTAGGTATACACGCAAAGCATCTAATGAAATACTTTCTACTTCTGCCAATGAGATGGGTTTTCTTTCACAAATGAGGAAGATGATGTCCCTGAAGAGTAATATTTCACATAAAGTGAGACACTGAAGTATCTGAATGGAATCTAGTAAAATTAGAGCAAGGAAACTGTAAAGCCTTTAAGAGTAACCCAAAAGCTTGTGCAGCTAGACAAGGAATACTACTGTGAGTTTAAAGGTATAGGCAAACGGGTCCAATCCTAAAGGCATTTCCATCTGGGTGTCCCACACAGTAAGCTGTAAATCTGGAACAGGAAACTTGAAATCATTAAGGTCACATATTTATAATATCAGATTCAATTAGGTTGGAAAAGTGCAATATCTGTCATCATGTCATAAAAAGATGTGTTTTTCTCTCAGATCTCTTATGAAGAAAAGCTTCTTATATTGTTACAGATAGGGCTGTTTTCAATCAGTTACAAGGAGCAATTCAATTACTAGATGGTTTAGTGCAGTAACTGACTCCAGACTAATTTAATTTCTTCAGGTCTCTAAAGATCAATTGATCTGATTTGTCCCATCCCCGAAGGCTGTTTAGGAAAAATTCAGACTTAAATACCTGGAAATGAAATCCAAAACCTTGGCCAATTTCACACTACTTAGGTCATCTTGCAAACTTTCAGCTAGTCACGGAAATGTGCTCTCGGCCCTCAGACCATTGAGGGCTACTTAGCTCCACGTTCATGTGGGCTCGCCCACGTCGGATGCTGACTGAATAAGTGGAAAATGTGGCCGCACGCGTGATCAGATCTGCCATCCTGAGGGCAGTTGGACTGGGGACTCCGATCTCAGGAGCACATGCGCAACTGAAGGGCTGTTTCTACTCGAGGAGTGGGTTATGAAGACTATTAAAAGTGAACTTTGATGGGGTAGACACTGTAAGATGACATGCTCATCTAATCAGATGAGGAACTTATAATTGTTTTACATTTTTAGATTCATACGGTGCTTTCA